CCCCAAAACCCCAAAACCCCAAAACCCCACAATATTAAGTAAAAATTGAGATTTTAAATTATGAATTGAGGATATCCAAAGTGGGTGAGTCACGACGAAATGCCGATTTGGAGCATTGATGCTCAACCTAATGGATTCCGCCTGCTAACAGCAGGCGGAGACAACAACATCAAGGTCTGGAATATACTTCCCATGATCAGTCCGAAGTATGAAATTGGAGATGAAGAATGCGATATGGAAGACCTCTCTCATGTTGAATATTTAGAAGAGCTCTTTGAAAAGGATGACCAGAGATACGAGAGATTACTAGCAACTTTGAACCTCCATACTAGCCCTGTGAACGTGGTGAGATGGAACAAGCTCGGAACTGTCTTTGCCAGTGGATCGGATGATGGAACTATCTATATTTGGCATTACAGAGGTATGAAAAGAGGCTCTTTCCAAAATTCAGATAAGGTAGAAGAAGATTGGGCTACTGCTAAAACACTCAGAAGTAATAGCGACAATATTTTCCAAGTAAGCTGGTCTCCAGATTCTAAACATTTGCTATCCTGAGGTGTTGATGGAAAAATTTATATTTGGGATATATTTCAGCCAAGTCCGATCAAAGTCTTGCAGGCTCATGAGAAATATGTTAATGGTGTTGTCTTTGATCCCTTTAACAGGTACTTCATTTCACAATCTACAATGGAGAAGAAGGTGATTGTGTGGAAAATTCATGACAAATTCTCAAATTTCACCAAAGGTTAGTGAAAACTGTTAATATTTATAGAGAAGGAAATCTCACATCCATATAGCAATAATAGTGGCATTCCCTCCCAGTTTTCAAGACTTGACTGGTCACCTGATGGTCAGCTAATAGGAACTAACAGTGGTTCAGTGAAGGGGATCTTCACATCTCCTTTAATTCGAAGAGGCGATGGGTGGAAAGTTGAAGGACACCTCAAAGGCCATCGCAAGAATGTTAATATCTGCAGATTCAGCCCCTCACTGAAGAAAGAGATTACAGAGTCTGAAGGAAGAGAAACGTTATCCTGCTCTTCATATCTCGCAACAGCTGGAGGAGATGGAAATGTTGTCATTTGGAAAACAGGAGCTGATCATCCATTCTTTATCTTAAGAAGAGCTTCAGAAGCAGGAATCAGTGACCTTACTTGGGGTCTAAATGGAAATATTCTCTTAGCCTCCTCAGTAGATGGAGAAATCTGTATGACCTACTTTCATCCCAAAACACTTGGAGATTTCTGTAATACCACTGAAGAGCAGGATATTTTCTTTGCAAACTATGGTGAAATTGTTGCATTGGAATACAAACGAAATAGTCAATTTATTGTGAAATCTTTGTCAGATATTAGAAGAAATGTGGTTTCAGGGAAGCAAGATAAGCAGATTACCACAATTAGTAGCAAGACAGGGAAGAAGAGGATTATTCCAATTTCAGAAGAAACAATTATCACAGAGCTTGACCCTAAAGAATTCAGGTTTAAATTTTCTGATTTTCCATCATCTTATAAAGAAGAAGGAACAATGGAACAGCTGGATAATGCTAAACCTTCTGCCAATAGTGGTTCTCCAATGAGATCAGAAATGTCTCAAGAGGAAGCTTCAATTGATACTACCTCTCCTTGCAAAACTGATTTAGCTTCTGAAGATGCAAACATGAGCATTGAACAAGCTGACCAGATATAAAATCTCAAAATCTTCTAAAAAGGTCAAGAAAGTATCTTACAAGAAGTAAATTAACCGCTGAGATCACAGGCGCAGAGGAGCCTTCCTCAGCTCCTCAGCCAGAAGATCTTCCACAAATTTATTCTGTTCCAAAGGAAGCCCCTGAGCTACTACTTGACGGAATTTCAGAGACCGATAGAGCAACTGAGATCACTGGGGAAGAGCCTAAAGAAGAAGACCCAGATACAAGATATTTTAAGAGAATTATGGCTTTGATGAATGAAAAATTTGACATTATCCAAAACCTAGAGACATATTGGAAGAATTACAAAAATCCTCCTCAGGAAAAATAGAATCAGGATAGTGACAAATGATCTTTTCTGCCTGCCATTTACTTTAGTGGTCACAAATGAGATCACTCAGAACACAAAGGCTGTATTGCCAGCTCTCATCAAGTCAACATTTAGAGTTGATATAACATTGCTTACTATGAAAGGTGAGATAGCTTACAGAAAATAGTGATGAAAATAACCAAGCAATAGCAGTCACAGCAAACACTGACTTCTTTGCTATCTATGGTAAGAACGGATGTATAAAGATCTTTGATACAAGTGACGGTCATCTGCTGGTGCCGTACTATGTAAAAACCAATCTAGTCTTTCTTTCCTCTTATTCAAACGGAAATGTTGCGTTCTTGGACTTAGAAGGCATGATTACAGTGATTAATGTCTATGAGAAATAAGCAATTATTCGAAGCACCAAATTTAGTGAAACCCCTCCTCATCCAGCTTACTAGTGAATACATATCACTGAAGAAGATACCTGCAAATGATGAGCAAAAAATTGTATTGTATTACATCAGTTTGTTCTATCTCCATGAAAATGATGTCTATATCCAGGTCAACCATTTCTGTGATGACTCTGAAACCACAATGTACTGATTAAACCAAGAGATGAAAAATTGGGAGAAGATCAAGCAGCTACCGAAATGCATCATTGGAGACGAAAAGGCAGGAAATATAGCTTCTGTAATACCCCTAGACCACATGGAACTAGATGGACCTGCTGAGATTACTGGTCTACCCATTTCAAAACAAAAATTGGAACGTGCTTATTTTAGATTAGTGAAAGAGAAAGATGAGCTTATGGAGTCCATCCAAGCTGGCATTGATGAGCTCGACTGTGACAATATGGAAGATGTTACTCATGATGGAACTGAATACCTTAGGGAAGACTCTCATGATTTTTATGCACTCGAAGAGCAGCTACTTCTCTATGAAAGGCTTGAGCATAAAGAAGAATACTTCATCACTCTCGATACTTACCTCATAAAATGAATCAGAGGGGGAGAGACGGAAAGAGTTGTCAAACTTATCAAAAAGTTTGATCCTGAAAATGAAATAACTATCTCACAAACCGCAGAAGACAAGCAGCTTAACGAGCTCTTCATTGGTGTAAGCAAATCAAAGATTTTGGAAGACTTCATTAAGCCAAGAGTAGCCATGAACAATGAGCTTGACAAGTTATTATTTCCCAAATAAGAACGATTTCAACAGTGTTTAATTTATTAGGGGTTTTGGGGTTTTGGGGTTTTGGGG